ATGAAGGTACACTGTAATATAAGATAATCTATCAAGAATTATTTAAGAACTAGTAAATCTTCAGATTGTGCAAACTACTGGAATGACCTTTTAAAGGGATAAATACCAGTACAAACCCTGTTACCTATATACGAACAGCCGGTCGCATTCATCGTTGAGCAAATGTATAGAAGGTACTGTGAAGTGAGATTATATCTTCGTCAGAAGATATATGCGCAGAAGTGTAGATTAGGAATGTGATGGTCGAAACCGGTGAAATACATTTCTTGTATAGTGAATGACCAAGACCGTTCAATGTCTCAAGCGCGCTGTGTGTGCCGGATGGGTTATACATACGATTACAATAGATAGTTATCACGACTTATTATAAGGAAGAAAGGAGCTGAGAAGGAGTAGACGAGACCAGAGCATACCAGACAGCACGGCGGACCAGCGTTGAACGGCGGGCGAAGAGCCGAGCGTGAGGGCGGGGATAGAGGTAGGGCACTCCGGAGCGCCGTCGCCCGCAGCGGGCGCGCCGGGGGTGCCTGCCCCGCCCCGTACCCGCCGCGGCCCTGCGCCCGGTGTCGGCGGCCGCGCGCCGGCGTGCTGCCGCACGCCAGGGGCCCCCCACCCCCGGCCCGCTGCGGCGCGCGGTCCCGCGCGGCCGGCCACGCCCAGCGGGCCCGGGCCCCGGCAACACACTCCCGCAACCGGCCCGGCGCTCCCGTCGTCCGCCGCCCAGGAGTCGGGCGGCCCACGCCCACACCCCGCGCGATGGCGAGGCGCGCCTCCCCGGCGCGGGCCCGACGCCAGCGCGCCCTCCCCCGGCGCGTCACCGCCCGCGTCTGCCCAGCCAGGCCCCGCGACGCGCCGGCCGGCCTCGGGCCCCGCGGGCCGTCGCCCGGCCGTCCGGGCCGGCCCGCCCCGCACCGGCTGCCCCCGGGCGGCCGGCCGGTCGCGCGCGCCGGCCCACGGCTGCCCCGCCCCCGCGGCCGCACCGCGGCGGCCCCCGCGGCGCCCCCGCCGCGGGGCCGCCGGCCCGGCCGCCCCCGCTGGGCGCCCTGCCCGGCGGCCCGGCCCCGAGCCGCGCCCCACGACACGCGCCGCACACGCAGCAGAAAGGCCCGCACAGCCCAGGGTTCACGAAGGCACCAGCGGGAGGCGCAGCGAAGGTGACACGAAGGTCAGCATACAGGCCGGGCGGCGCAGCGCGAGGGCCGGCGTGCGAGCCCAGGGGCGGAACAAACGCGGTCCCCCCCCCCCACCCCCCCGACACGCCCAAAGTAAACGGAAATTGCCGCGCGTGACGCACGCCACGCCCCCAGGGCAGCACCAAAGCCAAAGCAAACCCAAGGAAATAGCAGAACGACCCAGAGAAAGGCACAGCAAAGCAAAATAGGCCAACACCCCCCCCCCAAAAAAGACCCCCACCACCACAACAACACCAATAAACAAAAACAACAGCGGAAAAAAGAGGGACGAATGAGGAAGGAAAGGAAAAATTGTGCGCAAAAGCCGGGAGAAATGTAATATAACCTATAATATAGTATATAATATAAGCTATATATAAATACACTATATAATATAATATAATATATATAATAGTATATATATATCAAGTACTACTCATTGTGTGCTGTAGTAGTGTGGTGTGGATGATGTGTGCGTGTGTGGTGCATGTGTGTGTGTGTGTGTGTGTGTGATATGTATAATATAATAATATTTTATATGTATATATAATATATAAATATATATATATATATATAGTATATATATGTATTTATATATATATATTATATAGTAAATATAAAAATTTATACATATATATATATATACAGTATATATTAATATGATATGTATAAAATATAAATAATATAATATATATGATCCCTATATATGTATACATTACATATTTATTCATATATACATAGTATTGTATATGTGATGTATATATGTTTACTTATTTTTATATAGATAAATAAAATAATATAAAATATAATATATTATAGATATATATATAATAAATATGAATAATAATATTATATGTATATAAATTACTTAACATATTGCAGTTCATATTTATAACTATAAATGTATATGATAGTGTATTTGATGTATAAAAATAATAGAGTAGGTATATATTGTATATATGATATAATATTATATTAATATATAAATATAATATAAGATATATACAGAATATATAACATAGTTATTACATATAACTGCATATAGATATATAGATAAATATAATATAGTATATATATAATAAATATACTAAATAATTATATATAGATAAAATATAGATATATAAATATAACATATAATATATTAATTATAAATATATTAGAAATAATATATATACATGACACACGATAACATAATATATGCTATGACTGTTGTGTATATGTATAAACATTATGTAAAATATGCATTTATATTTTTGTATATATATAATATATCTGTGCGCTGCTGTGTGTGTGTGTGACTGTAGATGTGTGTAGTGATGTGAAAAATGGTGGATAATATACATAAATATATATATATATATATATAATATAATTATATAAATAAGTAATATTATATATATATATATAGTATGCATAATTATAGTATGTATGAATATATATGTATATATACTGATATAATATATATATAGGTAGTATAAGTATAAAAGTATTAGTATATATATATATAGTATATGTATGTAATAATATACAATAACACACAAAAATACAGATGTTCATCATAAACGTAATGGAATATATGAATGTATGCATGCACCATGGTACTTATACAGGTTTTATGCATAGTGTCTTTTGAAATGTAAGTGAATACAGTACGCAGCATTTTGTAGGAGTGTCGTGTGCAGTTGGGATTACGATTCAATGATAAGAACACAACTGTAATGCTAGGCAATGAATACAACCACATTATAGCCTGCAAGCACACTAATCTTCATATAGCCAACCATAATGCTTCTTTATGTCTCGGCATGTTTGCAGCATGTACATCTACATCACAAAGGAAGAGGAAAGACACAGTGGATGAAACATAATAATAGATAAGATAGTAAAGTTCAACCAATCTTTAGCAGATCTTCAACGACTACTCGTGAAGAAAGTTAACATATAAAAGAACTCAAAAAGCGATTTTCCAACTCGGAAGCTTCAATATTAATATATAGTCCATTCATGCTTGCCTAAAACCTGGTCAGCCTACGAAATGACCATTAGAAGCCAGCAGACCTAAGCCTGTAGAGACCAAAATATTCCTTTCTTACTATTTAAAAAGGCACGGTGGTGAGAATCACAGAATTTTATATGTCAATTCTGTTTGCAATGTATTACGTCATCTCGTATTCGTCTCATGTCTCTCTCCTCTATGCTATTTATCCCTATCTATTTATCTCTTTCTCTTTATCTAGAATTCTTATCTCTAACTCAAATTCTAAACTCTTCTTCTCTTCTCCTCTCTCTCTCTCTACTCCTCATCTCCTCTCTCTACTGCTCTCTACCTCTCCTCCTCCAATCACTCATCTCTTCTCTCTCTCTAATCTCTCCTATTCTCTCCTACTCTCTCCTCTCTCTCGTCTCTCTCTCTCTCTCTCTTTCTACTCTCTATTCTCAAATCCTCCCTCTGCTCTCTCATCGTTACTCTCTTCTCTCTCTCTTCTCTCTCTCTCTCTCTTAACCCCAAAAAGACTGATTAATATGCGCGCTGCATGTGATCATTCCGTTCGTGATAAACCGTTATCCTCAAGTTTATGTGCATCTACAGTTGTTTCATATGCCTGTCGTGTATCGATTCCTTTTATTTGCCTCCTGTTTTTATTCAGTATTTCATATCTTATATCTATCTCCATTATTCCTTATTTATACTATATATATTATATATAAATCAATATAAACTATAGATATTATCATTATAAAAAGATTTTTTTATTATTTATTATTTAAATATAAGTATTTTTTGAACATTTAAATTGAATAATATAGGTATATATGCATAATAATATGCATTATATATATATATATATATAGTATATATACAATTATATAGGTAATATATAATAATAATAAGTACATATATAGCTATGCATCTGATATCATTCATCTATCTTCCTTGTCATTGTTCTAGTTTTATATCTCTATACTAACTACAATCTATCTGTCTGCCCTTATCACCTATATCATCTAAATTATCTATCCTCTGTATTTTCCTTTGCATTTTTGTATACATAAACTCCCTGTCCATTCGACATCAGTGTTTATCGAGTGGACTGCTGCACGCGTCTGTATGGGTGATAAATGAATTAATTTTGTCATTTGCCACATTCACAACATCAAAATGGATATTAACCTAATTGTAATCAACACGGGAGGTGGATTTTTCAGCCCCACCGAACTTCATTTTTGTCAAATTCCGGTAAAGCCTGAAAATGTTGCATTCCCCATCATCTGTGCCATGATTAAACGGACATTTGTATGAGGAGACCTAATGCGGAGCACAGTGGTGTTATGTCAGTGGTATTTTTCCCGTGTTTTCATGTTTTCTGTGATTAGGTAACATCATGACGCAGTTTCCCTTTTGTGGAATGTAGTTTGATTTTAAACATATTCATCCTTATATGTGTCAATAAATATACACATCAACCAGACACACACTACGTGTGTATGTATGTAGTGTATATATGAAAATGTTGTGTGTGTGTGTGGTGATGTGTGTGTGTGTGTGTGTGTGTGTGTGTGTGTGTGTGTGTGTGTGTCGTGTGTGTGTGTGTGTGTGTGTGTGTGTAAGTGTGATATATATATTAGTATATATATATATTATACATAAATATATAAGTATGTATATATATATATATATATATATATATATATATATATATGGTGTGTGTGTAAGTGTGTGGTGTGGTGTTATGAGTATATATATAGAAATATATACATACTATATACATCTAATATTACATTATATATAATTATATGTATATATATAATACATATATATGTATATTA